TAAATCACCCACTGAACATCACCTCTGCTTTATTTTGAATTGAAGATTCAAAACTTCTGTATCTCCTTGGCAAACAACTATTGCCAGAACTACATCTGGAACAGCCTAAGTGAGTCATGTTAAATTCCTTAGGCTAAAGAGGCACCATCAAAAAGGAAGTGTATTAAGAGGATACAGCAACTCCCACAGGATGTGAAAGACAGGACTGCAAACCCAGGAAACAACTGGTAGCCACTTATAAGCATCTGAAAGAAGCCTCCATTCCATGTGCCTGGGCCCTGGTGAGAAGAACACTGGATGGAGTCATGAGAAGAACATGAACAGACAACACAGTGGTAGGAGAAAATTGTCCCACCTAATTCCTTGGAGACCTGCCAAGTGATTGTCACTGTCAGTGCAGTAGCTTAATATTTAAAAGTAAATACCACCAACTTCAATGAAAGCATCTCTGATAGGTTTATGAGAGAGGATTCTACATGTCCTTCCAAGAGGGTTTCTCAATACCTTTCCTTCAAAAATTACTCTGAAGCTAACTTCATAAATGTGTAAAATTTAAACATTTCTTAAAAGCTGCAGAATGGCAAAGTTCCCTGTGCAACTATAATTTGACACCTCCACACAGGTGCACTATACAAAGCATAAAAACTGGGTCTCAGACTACCTACAAGATCATTTGCTCAGAGGTCCTAGCAGCTGCTACTTCGTCTTGGCATATTTACCTGCTTTTGTTGCCAAAATCAAACGGATTAAAACAAAATTGAAGCATGCCTGTGGAGGATTGCCTATACAAACTCATACATATCCATACATCATTCATACACAATTAAACCCATTATGGACTTTGTGTAATAGGTATTGATTCAAATGTATGCTGATAGCTTCCTGCTCAAAGCCGTAAAACAAAAATTCTCATTAGCTATGTAAAAAAGACCCATGTGATCAGTCAGCTTTTTCTCCTAAACACTTCAAAAGCCTCAACTAACTCTAAAATCTAGGTTTTTAGTAACAACTTACTATTTTAATAAGTTTAGCTGTTATAACTGTGATAAAATATAATTCATTTCGCTGTCAGCAGGAGAAACAAAGAACATGGATAAGTTTCAAGTGAAGTTCACAAAAACAGGAAAAAGGAAATAACCACACCACTGGTCTCATTCATAGATTATACTAAACATGACAGATATCTATTACTCTATGAAGATTGATTCCTTTCCATTTTCTAACAGACCATGAATGAAATTGTTTTGAACTCTTGACAACTTTTAATAAAAGACACCACACATATTTCTGGATTTGTTTTTTGGACCTCATATTTCATCCTATTTTAGGCCCACAGTGAAAATCATACTATTTGGTTTTTCCTTTTTACTAATTACAGAAAAAAGATTAAGACAATCAACCAGAAAAAAGCATAGAATCGAATTTGCCACTGTGAGTCATATCAGCAGCTCTTCAAAGAACATTTGACTGCACACAAGCTATTTACAGCTTCTTAGAACCTATTTAGTATTAACCTAATTTTCATTAGTTAATTTCTCCCATTCCAACCATGCTGACCTATTCTGAGCTCATTGGCTTTCTACAAGTCTTTACCTGGCTACTGCTGTGTGTAGCATAGCGACTACAGCACAATAAAATATGTTGTATATAGATATTTACATGAGAAACTCCTTTCCAAGAAAGAGTTAGAAAATCAAAGTATTTTCCCTTCATTGCCTTGTCTTGCCCTTAAGAATTAATCTAAAGGAGGGAAGAAAAAATAGGTTGAATTATGGCAGAGTTTTGCCATATATTCACTATGGTTTAGATCACAAGCAAAGTGAATGAACAAGTGAAATTAATTTTCAGGGTTTAATCAAGATGAAAAATAACGTTGTGCCTAAAGATACAGGCCATAAGTGTTACAGAGTAGTTCTCTGCTCTACTGCAAATTTCTTGCTCAGTTTTGGCTTCCCCAGCAATTAATGTGCCAGCATTACTTCCTCTTCCTATCCTTTCCTTGTTTTCTTCATGTGGGCTATAAACTTTCAGAGGCAGGAGGCTGCCCCTCAGTGCATGTTTGTACAGCATCCAGCATAAAAAGCCATGATCTCCAATGGACTCTTTGAGCCCTAACTGAAGATAAACCACTTAAGAACTCTGTTTTTAAAGATATCTGACATGAAAAAAAGCATAGTGAGTAAAAATGTACAGAAATGCAAGATGCATTGGAATTTTAGCTTGGGAGCATATTATACTTTCTAATTTGCATTGCCCTAATACTATTTTCTAGCCTAAATTAAGTTTGATTTCCAAAGATCGGAGACTGAGGATCTCTCAATGGAAGGCATCTCCTCAACTTTACAATATACTTCTACAAAGAGGACTAATATAAGTACTCAAGCTATCATTTCTGTTTTAAAGGCAGCATGACAGCACAGGAGTATGAGAATCATAAGCTTCACATTTATTCACATTTATTCCCAGCATAAAAGGTCGAAATAAGCCATGTACATGGGCCTTCAGGATCTTATACAGCCTGCCTATTTTTCCAAGTCTTTTGATGAAATTTGATTTTTTTGATAGAGTGCAAGAAATATTAGAAAGCATCATTCAATGAGTCTGTTTGCATTATGCAGTAATAGGCTGACCCACTACAAATTTCTCTAATGATTCTGAAACTTTAAATTTTACATTAATTTTGGCTTTAAAAGACATCTTTTTTTTTTTTTTTTTCCTTTTGAAATCTGAAAACATTGCAGGTTAACTTTTATTGTCTTCTTGAACTGTGGAATCCAATACATGTGCATTGCTATAAATAAACATCTACTACATTGTAGTAACTAACCTTTGGCCCACTCTTAGTGTCTTTCAGTGCTGAGGGACAATTCACTGGATTAAATCATGCATCATAACCAATAGCTCTGAGGACAGATCTCTCTTACAACAAAGCACCAGTGTTGCATGCGGTGGTCAGAGGATACAGACTATTACTACCCAAAAGGACAAAGTTACTACTGGGAATGTTTTAGATGTCATTAGCTCAGCACATCTAGTCTAATGTATTCTTCTACCACTGGTACTTTTCATGTTTTCTTAGCAGTGCTGATGGACTGTGGTAGGACAAAGTTTTTTAAGACTGTTTTTTAAGTCATATTGGAAAGACCTCATCCACCCACTCAAAAATGAGGAAGTTGCATAACACCTTTATGTAAGCAGTCCCTTACTACAAAAATTATGGGTAAGCATGCAAAAAAAGCCTTACTGCACTTCAAATTTCCATTTTCCATTTTCACACAGGTTTTAGTTGTACTTTTGAACTTTTTCTGTACTGGAAAGTAGTATGTACTTTATGTACTTTCTTAAAAGAGCAGGGCTAGCTGATTTTTATATCCAGTTGCTAAAATTAAATACAGCTTTTAAAGTTACTGTATTTTTACTGTCACACATGGTTTCACTGCAGTAAGATACAGAAGAACATTTCTGAAGAGCAACAGTATTGCGGCATGAATTCAGCATAAACACTGAATATGCTCTCTGCCTGGAAACTTAATCTTCTTCAAGTGTTAAGGAAAACAATGTCTATAAATACATGAAAAATAAATGGGAAACAGACATAAGTTTAAATATCAGAGAAAAGCTATGTAATGACAGCTCACTGGATGCCAAAGATTAGTGCTTGTAACTTTCCCTCTTGTTCCTTCTTGTAACGCACTGCCACAATTATTGCTCCCATCGCTGCAAGCTGCCAACAGACTCTCAACAATACCTAAGAATAGACATCTAGGCATCACAGGAGCTTCATCTCTTCCACACTGTGTAAACAACATTTGTCACATTAAGCTTTACATACATTAGGGACAATTGCTTCACAAAGCAAAGAGAGCACAACAAATGCAAAGTGATGATCAGATATAGAACCGCTGACGCTAGAATGAACCAGCTGTAACTGACGGCAGGAAATAATGACGATGTCAGCAACAGCTGCTCACAACATGAGTGGATGTTTTGTCATACTGTATGTTCTAGACAACCACAGTCCCCCCCAAAAAAGTACTATAGCATATGGACATATCTGCACTCTTTACCACCAGAGGATTTCCACACTCTTCTGCTTCAGTATCTTTCTGCTAACCAGACTCCCTTATTCAACAGACCTAACCCGGGCTTGTCTCCTTCATTTTTGGTATCTGCACTCAGCATATACAAAGTAACTTCCCCTACCATGTTATATGCTTCTCTCTAGATCTCACTGACAGGAGTTATGGGGGGAAGGCAGGGAAGGGGCTGGGTTGAGAAGGGAAGGGAAGATGTTAATAACTACTTTTTGCAGACCTGATGCTCCTCTCTTTCCCCTCCAGAAACATCAAAGATTGTGTATATATATTAAAAAAACATTCATTTTCCCCTTTTTGTGTCATATTTTGATTTTAGCTCCGCTAAACTCACTGATCCTATTTCAAATCAAACTCAATTTAAAAGTGCATGCACATTATACTAATGTTATGAAATTATGTAAATGCAGAAAAATATATGCTCCTTAAACTTCCAGAACAGTTTATGTCACCCTGAACATATCCTGCTAATTTAAAACCAAAAAATATATTTTAAATATTAACTGTACTGAAGGAAATGACTGAGCAAATTTGAATTTTAACAAATGGCCACCCCAGTCTATGACGATACTTTACACATCCAAGGCATTATTTTTGTTACAAAACATTCCATTTTGGCATAGCCAGATTGGAGAAATTAGGTAAAAGAACTCTGGACAGGCTTCTTCAGGAAAATAAGCCTGACTGCCCCAATATCACAATTTTAGTTTACACAGTGGCAACATATTTCTAAAAGAGCACAATTACAATCACCTTATCAATGTAGAAATGCTGTCAATAACTTTGACAGACAGGAATTTTGCCATGAGGTCATAGGCTTAGTTTGGATCTTCCCTTGCCTGATTAGACAGAGAGTATTTTACCACAATTGGCTCTAGTCACTGATGGATTTTCATTCCCAAATACCTGTCATCACCATCACTGATGCATTCAGGAAGAGCGAGACTGCAGCCAAACAGCATGATGTGTTGATAGCAGTTGAGACGATTGAGGTAACTGAAGAACTTCAGGAACTTTTCCATTTCAATACTTTTGACAATGGAAAGAACTGAAGTTACAGTGGTGTAGTTATATGGCAGCATTTGGCACTGGCTGTTGGTGATATTTCTGCAGGCACCTGTGAAATCAAAACAATGTATTTAGAACAATAGTATGACCACTGAAGAGCATGTATTGAACAGTCAGTATATATAATATATAAACAATGCTGGTATCTCACAGGTATGATTACATTCCATAATGCTATCATAATACTGTCAAAAAAATAAGAAAAAAATTACATCAGAGAAGCTTAGCTTGGAAGACCAAATAAGCTTTTAGCTATTTTCACAATCCCCTGACTTTGTACAAAACCGGAATAGAAATAAAACAAAACCAATTTCTCTTTGACACAGCCTGGATACAATAAAATTCAATGGCAGCTGAGAATATAAGTCAGACAGAAAAAAATGGGTTCTGAAGCTGCTCTGGTTTTAGTGTTCCCATAAAGTTTCTCTTTTCGTTACCATTCTACTTTCACAAGCAGCAATTTCATTAAGTGAAATTTCATCAAATTTATTCATGAGATCATCATGCATCTCCTGAGGCACAACTGCAAGACAGTCTCTGCCATGGCATGTGGCAAGAAGCACTGACATTTTTGGCTGAGATCATGTGCATGGACTGCTTTAGACATTTTAAAATTGACACAGTCTTGACAGAGAAGGGTACAGTTCCTTGGAGCTATCTGATCTTTTTGTGGTACTCACTGGCTGGACAGCAGAGCAATGAATTCAAAATTCATGGATAAGAAGAAGGAATTTTGTGACAATTATATAATAATTTTCAAAACAAAGAAGATACTATGTGGCCACATTTCTCTTCACAAAGAAAAGGAAGGCACAACTTCCCAAGGATATTTTCTGGGAATTGCCACGAGGAGCCTCAGAGAAAGAATAAACAATTCTTATCTCAATTGCTGCTCCTCTTGTTGTGTTCATGTGGAATGTGCTCTGGAGATTGTTTACCCAAGGTGACCAATTGCATCCACGTGTGTGTGTCAGGACTGTCGGGAGACAGTCACAAGATTTTGTTCAGATGAATGGTTGTGCAGTTTCAGTTTAGATGTAGTGTAATATAGTATACAGTAATATAGTATAATAAAGTAATTAATTAGCCTTCTGATACCAATGGAATCTGCCTCATCATTTCTCCCTGCCACAGGGGTCGCCCTGCATTTACTATAATACTAAACCCAGGACCTGTCCTTGCAACAGAATGATCACACAGAGAACAGCATAAATAGTCTCTCTCCATCATTCTTATAGGCTCCTTTCAGGTGCTGTAAGGCTGCAGTTATGGGGAATATAAACTAGTTTTGGCAATACCTACAGGAAGGTAAGAAGAGCAGGGAATGAGAATAGGAGCATGTGAAAACACTGTTGATCAGAACAGCATGGTCCCTAATTACATGGGTCATTTTTGATATTCATCTGAATTAAGAGTTTTCTGTTTATCGCCAGCAATTGCCAAATGCACTAATAAAAAAGTGCTTCTTTCTACTCCAATAATTGCAATGCAAGTCTACAGTTTCATACTCAGTCCTGCTGAAACTAATTTAAACCGCACATTTTCCCTTTCCCATTCTCCTCTTCAAATTGTTCCTACGGCCTGCATCTGCACAAAATACACTGAACTAGCAGGCTGAGCTGACTGGAAACAACCACCTACCTTCTCTCCCAAAAGACAAAGTCTTTCATAGCCCCAAAGAAAAGCAACTAGAACTGCAGCTAAGCTTAATCACTCTTTTTAGATTTAAAAAACCGAGCCATGCCTGTAATGATAATAAGGCCATAGCTCCTCACCCAGTAGTGATTGCTGCTTCCAGATTTATTTTTATTTCATGCAAAGAACTAGCTCTGCACATTAGCCTGCCTGCCTTTTCTCTCTTCTCTTGCACCACAATGTCGTTTTTTGGTGGGCACAGGGAGAATGGAGAGGAAGAGGGGAAAAACAACTATTTCACTTGGATCAAATAATGGAATTGAATAGCTTTTTGGCAAAAGAATATTTTTTTCCAAGAGAGGAGAAGGGGTGGGGCAGTGCAGTGGCAGAAACTGGAGGTTAAGATCAGAGCTGTTCACAGCAGCTGAAGCAGTGATTTTATACAAAGTGTAAAATCCAGCAACATAAAGTCCTTTGAAAGCATTAGGAATACTTGAATTGCACCATCAGAGTTAATTCCTGTCTAATGAGAAATAGAAGAACAACTTCCCTCAAAAAAATCAATTAATAAATTTGGTGTAACTCTTCATTCTTAATGCATCCATTTTCTCCTTTGCACTACAAAAAAACATCTGGGATCCTTCAGGTATATGAAATGTAATGCAGTTAAATGATGTCTCAGTTAAAGTTAACGTAAACCTGCCTAGATCCTAGCTAGGCTATGTTTTTAACAGGATTTTTATAGAAGATATGCAAAACATGCCTCTGCCTCAAGAACACAAAGCATAACATAGTATGCGAGAAGAGTATCTGGCCTGAAGAGAAAAGTAGGCAGCCTGATTTTCATATACCAAGTCAAATGTTCTCAAGTTTCAATTAGAAAATGAACTTATTAATCAGAGGAACTTTTACAGAACATCTTTAAGTAGCTTCCAGAAAACGGAACTGTACTCAACTTGCAGCAGCAATCACCACCCACTTCATTACAGAACTTAGCCTAGCACACCCTCAGCACTAATTGCACAGTTGCACTCCATGATTTCACTGGTAAAGCCTCCTTAAATCCAAGGAAAAATGGCAATATTCACCTGGCTCTTCCACAGCAAAAGTTCTACCAATGAGGAATGAAATCATATCTTTAATCCTAAAATGCCTTGAAAATTTCTAGGAATCCTACTAAAAGAGGCAAAATAAAAGCCAACTCTTCCAGTCTAACTTGCCTATGGCAGCATTTGCCAAGTTTCTTGATAGGGGAATGACCTGCAGCACATCAATTTTTTACCAATCCCAAGTTGCCATGTTCCCCTGACCTTAAAAAAATGTTGTCACTTTTCTTGATTTCACAATTTCCTGTGTGAAACATATGAACCTATACAACGCCTTTTTTAGCTCCTCTGTCCTGTGTCACATTCACATTTTCTAAAAAATCCCTTCACCCAGGATTTTTCTCCTAGGAAGCTGAGAAGCCTCAGAGAAAAATGAAAAACAATAATTATCCCATTTGCTTCTCCTGTGTTTTGCTCCTTTGGAATGTGGTTGGAGATTGTTTACCCACAGATGATGGTTTCATTGGTTTCTGGTGTGAATTGTTTTGACTCAATGGCCAATCAAAACTGTTTTGGGACTCTGGAAATAGTCATGAGTTTTCATTATTATCCTTTTAGCATTCTGTAAGTATCTTTTCTGTATTCTTTAGTATAGTATAGTTTAGTATTCTTTAATATAATATAGTATCATAAAATAATAAATTAGCCTTCTGAGAACATGGAGTCAGATTCATCATTCCTTCCTGCCACGAGGGTCCCCACAAATACAATAGTCCTGTTGATAAGTATCTGATTTGTTGTAGACTTTTGCTCCACGTGAAAGAACTACAGTATTCCCACCCAGCATCTGATTTTTCCAGCAAAACCTTTTTCCAAAACTCGTTACTGTCTTAAAAAATTTTAATTTACTATAACTTCTTTTTATTTACTTCTATTTATTTATTTATTTTTTATCTTGGTACATTTTTCATTTCAATTATAACAGAAGATGGACAGATTTTCTTGGCCTCTCTCCAGCTATGAATTTTCTCATGTACAGTCCACTTGGGACTGAATATCTCATACTGCATTTCAGATGTTTTCTCCATAATTTTCTTAGGATCTATCCTTTGGAATCCACACAGCAGGGAAACGTACAAACTGTTTTCTCTTTAAGTATTGTGAGTTAAAATCAATCATTTCACAACTAAAGCATAGTGTCTGCAATTTTTTCACACAAATGTTAACTTGAAAATTCAATTTCCACAACTCAAAGCAGCTTCCCCTTCCTGACACAATGGATAATTTTGCTGCTGAATGTGTATGCTGGGTGATTCTTTCCTTCTAAAGATGTTCTCAGTTTCTTCTTGCATTTTTTTTCTGCTTTCCTTTCATATCTCCCCTTCAAGTCTCCTAAAAATGCTTATCTTTTAGACATCTGTCCTGAATTTGCTATTGTAAATAGCGAGACAATAAAAGCATTTCATTCCTTTGACAATTTCAACTCTTCAGTGCCTGAATGATTCTTCCCATCTATTGGAGACCTCTGCTGTCTAATCCCCAGAGTCTCTCTTATTCTGGACACAGTGGAAATTACTGTTTATATGACATAACCTCCCATGTGATTGTATTTCCTTTTGTATTTCACCTTTACCTTCTTTTCACTTTTTGTATTGCAATATCAGCTTTATCCTATAATTTCTACAACCTGGTATTGTTAATGTAGCTCTTATTTTCAGACAGACCTTTTAATATCCCTATTTATATACTTTCTCCTCTACCCAAGACCTCAGAAATGATCTAACAATTATGACATATAACAAGTGCATATTACCTTTCAATCATGACTGCAATTTACTCTTCAACACATCCCACCTTGCTTGTAATGCTTCCTTATTTTCTGCTTGGATTCTACTTGGATTTCCTCCAACTTTTCTGCACTTAATGGCTTATGGTTTAGGTAAGATTTTTTAAAATTATTTACATAAGAATTTTAAAAATACTTACAAGGGTGTAAGCTATTTAGATACATATAATTTCAGCCTATTTTAAATCTATAATGACTGGGGTGCCTTTTTTGGACTAATATCTTAGTTCTAAAGAACCATTACACTTTTACGTCCCTTGAGCCTCAGTTTCTTTTTTTTCCCTCATGGAATGCTGAAACACTTAGAACACAAATACTGCAAATGTACCTTTATCTAAATAGAAAATTAAACACTTGTTTTAATCAGACTGCCTTGTCATCCTACCAAAATTCAGTCTATCTAAATGAATCACACATGTTTTACATGCAGTTAAAATCATAGATGCTAATGAAAGCATTACAAATACAGACTGCTCTTAACTTTATTTTCCTACATATTTTGAATGACTAACTGGATATTTG